GGTTTTGCGGTTATGGTTCAAAACCTGTCTGTCCTAATTCCTGTTCTAGTTTGGCCCAACGTGTACAACATTGTTTTCTTAATAAAAATATGTTTTTTCATTAGATTTCATATTTTCTTTTGGGTGATGAACAAAAGAAATAAAATTGAGCTTTACTGAAATTCGTGAGGAAATTACAAATTTGGTCTCGTTAGATTGGGACGGTCGCAATTTTAGTCTTAAGAAGCGCAATTTCGGTCCTTAACTAATTTTTGTTGCACAATTGGTCCTAAATCTAACTGGTCGTCAAGTCACCATTAGTCATTAGTTTGAAAATGGAGAAAATTGCAAATACAATTCCATAAGATTGGTTTTGTTGCAAATTTAGTCCCAAAATATTCAAAAAATAGTTTTATTATTATTTTTTGTTGCAATTTTTATTACTGAGTATATAACAATATTTGATAATAAAAATTTAGTTTCGAGACAAAAAAATAATAATTACTATACAATATTTTTTATATTTAAAAAATAATAATTATTTAATTTTATTAGAAGTATAGAACTCTAGAGGTTAATAAGATTTATAAATAAAAATAAAAATAAAAATAAAAGTAATATCAACTACTATTGGTTTGAAAACTCGGCCAAACTTGTTGTTGAATCGAGAATCGGTCAACTAAACGGTTTGATTCCTTTAAACGGATTGGTTTTTTAGTGAAACGATCAGAATTAGTTGAATGGACTGGTCAATAATATATATATTTTTTTAAATAAGTTAATAAATATTTATATTTTTTAATATAACAAAAATATAAGTTTAAATATATTTGATATACATAAGTTCAAATATATTTGAATTTATATTATTATGTTTTCTGTATTGAAAATATTTTTAAATAAATAATAAATATATTTACAAAATAATTATTTAATTTTATTATAATTATATTGGTTGATAAAAAATAAAAATAAAAATAAAATAATATCAATATATATATATATATATATATATATATATATATATATAGGGGGTGGATCCAATGAGTCCACCCCTTAAAATGTGCACGTGAGACCATCATCTGAGCCGTCAGATCTGCCTTTCAGATCTACGCTCAGAATCAAGCATATAAATATAACAAATCAAATAGAATTAAAACAGATCTCCATCTCCGCTCGCAACAAAATCAGAAAAATATCTAAACTTTCCTTCTCAATCACGATTCTGTACGATTTCCTTCTCACACTCGATTTCGATTTCATCGACTAATTAGGTTTAAGTACCCTTTTTAATCTATTCGATAGACAAACTACTGAGGTTCATAAAGTTCATCAGGTTTATCACACAATATCGGCGAAAGCAACTTCAATGGAGATCGAAGCAACTCCAGTTGCGACATTAATGGAAGAAGGTATAATGACATTTTTTTCCAAATTGATTCATCTAAATTTAAAAAAATCAATGCCGATGAATTATACATTGATGAAATCGAATTATTTAATAAGAGTCGAGCACATAATATTGAAAAATATGTTGTTCGTGCTTATCTGCAATTTTGATTTGTGGAAGAATCTCTGTTTTCTGACATAAATATTAAATATGTTGCGATTTAGAAATAATATGCATGTAGAAATAACTAAATGTGCAACTATCTATTGATAAGCATGTAAAAAAAATTGTCTGTTGCACAGGTCTACTTATACATTAGATCGATATATATAAAACAAACTTTGCATGAAAGAATAACTAATTATGCATGAAAGAGTAACTAAACTTGCATACGTATATCAATAAATATGCACGTAATAAATATGCATGCAATATCTTGGTAAGTATGCATGTTATAACTGCAGTTTCATTCAATCAGTTATTCTGGATTATAACTATATATCCAACGCTTTAGTTATAAAAATGCATATGTGCTGAACTAAGAATGCAATATTATTGAACTAAACATGCAACAGTTCTCAAACTTAATTTTCTTCTTATATTTTGTAGTAGGTACTGCTCATGAGGGATCTCAGATTCAGTTGGTGATATCACCAAATTTAACAAAGTATTGAATACCAATCGTCCAACCAGATATAAAGCCTAAAGTCGGTATGCTGTTTCCAAACCTTGATATTGCAATGGATTTTTACAGAAACTATGGGGCAAACGGTGGATTTGATGTGCGGACTAGCACAAAAAAACGGTTTAGAAGTGGCGCAGTAAGTAAACAGCATATAGTTTGCAATAGACAAGGATTTAAGCCAGAAATCGAACAAAATACTTCAAAGAGTACGCCACAACTACCTCCTGAGTCATGTGGAGTTCAACGACAACGTGTGGGTTGGTTGCAAAGCTCGAGTAATATTTGAGTATGATGAAAATGGATACAAAATTGCAAAATTTGAAGAAAAACATTGCCACGGTCTAGTATTGGAGACACTTTATCTTAATGCAAATCGGCTAATGAATTACGGACACCAGAAATTTGTTCTTAATTGTGTGAAAACAAACATTGGACCAGCTAAAACCCATAGGTTATATAAGGAAATGCTTGGGGGATATGATAATGTTGGTGCTCTCGCAATTGATTTCAAGAACTACAAGAGAGAACTTATGACATACATGTCTGGAGCAGATGCGCAACTCATCATTCAGAAATTCCACAACAAACAAGAAGTATGCCCAAACATGGCATTTGAGTATGCAGTTGATGGCAATAACCAATTAAGCAGGATATTTTGGGCAGACCAAATTTCAAGAAAAAATTACCTGATGTTTGGAGATGTTGTCTCATTTGATGCAACCTACAACACTAACATGTACAATTCAGTTTTACTAAGCTCTTATTGGTAACTATTACATACAAAAACAATAAATATCTTATTGCTTTAGTTGTGATAATACATTTGTGGTATATCTAAATTGTTAAGATATATCTGATTGTTACTGTTGTGTATGTCATGAATTAAATATGCAACATGTATGAAATAACTTAGCAATTGAATATTTTGTGATAATACAAACTATGCATCACCTTAAAACTAAGTATGCAACATTATTGAACTATTCTTGCATACATATAAAACTAAATAAGCATTTTCATATCAAATAAATGATTTTATTTTGAGACAGTAGTCTGCATAACTGTCTGCCAAAGCTTGTAGCTCTTTGAAACTAATGTTGCAACAAAAGACAACTAAGTATGCATGAAGACAGAAATAAAAATGCATCACCTTAAATATTGTCAGACCTAATTATTATTATTATTTTTCTATACAGGTACAAAATGGTGTTTGTCCCATTTACTAGAATAGATAACCATAAAATATGTGTAACATATGCAACTGGATTGATTGTTAAAGAGGATGAAGAATCATATATTTGGCTGTTGGAAAAATTCTTGAAGGCTATGGGACATGAACCATATTACGTTGTTACCGACCAAGATCCTGCCATGAAGAATGCTATCCGGGCAACTTTCAAACATGTGAGACATCGTTTATGCATGTGGCACATTATGGAAAAGGTAAATGTAAAGGTTGGTCCTACAAGGATAATACCTTCATCAAAAGATTAAATAACATAGTCTGGAATAGTTATATTACCCCTTGTGAATTTGAAGAAAAATGAGGAAATTTGATGAATGATTTTGCCTTAACAGAAAATCAGTGGTTTCGTAATCTGTTTGAGATTATAAAGTCATGGATCCCAGCATATTTTAAAGATGTGAAAATGGGCGGTTTGCTTAGGACAACATCTAGATCAGAAAGTGCAAATAGTTGGTTTGGAGGTTACATATCTCCACAAGCAAACTTAGTTGAGTTCTTTATGCATTTTGAAAGTGCAACGGATGCACAAAGACATGTTTCATGTAAGATGCATCATGAATGTGTGTCTTCACCTTCCGAATGCAAGACACCATTAGAAATTGAGAAACATGCTGCAAAGGTTTATACTAAAACAGTATTTTCTGAGGCACAAACAGAAATTGAAGCAGCATGTTTTCGGTGTGTTCCTATCCACATCGAAAATGAGAATGATGTGACAAGATATAAAGTTGTGGAAGCTAGTCGTGATGATATTGATTTCATTGTAGATAAATGTCGGGATTCTGTAAATTGCAGCTGCAAGATGTTTGAGCAATTTGGATTATTATGTCGTCATATACTAATGTTCATCAAGGATTTAGATAGAATACCTGATCAGTACCTTCTCAACCGTTGGCTCAAAGCTGCACTTCCGGTAATGAGTTTAAAAATGGAAAATTAACTGCAGTAGATAACAAAAGTCAGCAGAATGCCTATATAAACAAAATCTGGTCTGATTTTCATTGCTGTGTATCGCTTGCTCAAGATGACGAGAATAAGTTGGCTAGATTATCAAGAATTCTAAATGAAGAAAAGAATTACTTGTTGAGTGGACGACAGGACAGGGGTTCAGTCTTAAGCAAAGAAGCAGTTATTGAAGCTTTTTGCGGTTCAGTTTCAAGTTTGGATGTAAATATCCTTCCTCCAAAGCAAGCAAAAAACAAGAGAAGTGGAAGCAGCACAAAAAGCCGCTTGTTGTCACAACGAGAAAAGTCAATCAAAGCAAGCCAAAAGCTGAAAAAGCATTGTGGAAAATGGGGAGAAATAGGAAATCATAATAGTAGAACTTGTACTAAGACTAATGAGATTTCTGATTGTAACACATAGATTTCTGATTGTAATTTTATTTTTATTTTTAAGATTTTTAATATATGATAAGTATATAATATTATAGTTAGACTATATTGTACATTAGAATTTTTTTTTTTTTAATTTTATAATTATAAACTTAACATTTTTCTTACAAGGTACACAATCAATTCTTAAAATATCACGAGCTTGCCAATTCTGTGAAAGGAAAAACATCTTTGACCCAACGGTCAAAATCAATTCCAATTCCCGTTAAAACATATTTCCCCTTTCAATCATTTTCTCCCTCATCTCTCCCCCTCTCCCCACTGTTGGTTGTTCCCAGCACGTGCGTCCCTCTCTCTCGTCACGTGCCCTTTCTCTCTCTCCGCCACCTGCACAGACAATCACGCCTCTATCTTACTGGGCCATCCACCATCACCGCCGCCGCCGTCCTCGTCGCAAAATCTGTGCTTTCCTGCACCTGCGCCGGGAATTCCGTCGCCATTTTACTATGATGTGAAGGAGCGGCGCGATGCACGCCTACAATCGGCTCCCCAGCAGCGGACACAGTAGCCCCTCGTCACCGCCGGTGTCTCCGTTCAGCCGCTCCCCGCGGTACCGCTACCGAGGCTCCAAATCGGGGAGGCCTCCTCCGAAGACGCTCGCGCAGCGCCTCGCCTGGATCCTACTCTCCGTCCTCTTAAAGCGGCAGGGGATTTTCCTGTTCGCACCCCTCCTGTATATTGCGGGGATGCTGTTCTATATGGGGACGGTGACGTTTGATGTGGTTCCGGTGATCAAGCACAGGCCTGCCGCTGGGTCGGTTTACCGGAGCCCTCAGTTGTTCGCCAAGCTCCGTCCCGAGATGGACTCGGATAATTCCACGGCCGATGCGGTTAGTGCTTCCAATTTCGTGCAACCATCTTCATAGTTATTTTGTGGTTAACTATTGTCTCGTCATTGGTAATTAATTCTGAAGTACTAATTCGTTGTGATTGAGATTGAAAATGACTTACTGTTCATTTAGACGCTAAACCTTCCTAGTACTCGTCTACTAAAATTAATTATAATTGGTGTGTTTTCAATCTATTGAAAACTGATAAATCCAAGCCAATGTACCTTTTCTCTTGCTCCTTAAGTTTTTCAAATTTCAGACAATGATTAAGTATTAGGAAATGAGTTCTTCGATTTAATTATTCATGATTGAGAGCTATTTCTGCGTTTTCGATCCAGATCTTTCAAGACAATTACAATATATTTTTGATGTCATTCTGAGCTGGTTGGATTGGATTTTATAGCTGGATTAGCTCTGTTTGATGAGCCTAGAGTGTCAATATTATGGTTTTCCCAACTGCACTAGTTGAATGAATCCCTGTTTAGAGTGTACATTGTTCTGTGTTTTGAACTCCTAAATTGATGCGATAACCACTTGCTCCAGAAGGCAAATTTCTATTTAGGTTTAATGAAAAACTGTAGTTTGTTTAATGATTTCCAGGCAGGTCGAGAAAAGCACTATGTTTATGCTCCCAGAAGTTTCGGATTAGTCTTATCAAGTTCCTATTAAGATTTAGTGAAAAACTGTAGGCTGTTTAATGATTTCCAGGCAGGTGGAGAAAACACTATGTTTATGCTCCCAAAAGTTTCGAATTAGCCTTATTAACTTCCTTAAGTCTTGAATGTGGATAAATTACAAAAAGAACATTTTGCTGCTTGATAGCGCAGGGGGAAATGATAGTGTAATTTCAGTAACATTAACATCATGGAAACCTTGGACATCAGGCAGTGGTAGATCGAGACATCATTGTACTTATATTACCAAGCCGTTTTCTGATGAAAAAATGCATTGATTATGTTTTGCATTTTGAGGATGCTGTTCATGCTTTTCCTGATTCTGTGAGTGTGAGAATGATTTGCTTGATCATTCTCTTAGAATCAATTTTCAACTATTAATTTAGGATCGATCTTTTGGGGAAATTGCTTAATAAAAGTGTGATTTAAAGAGTTCATCAACTTGGGAATTAAGTTGAATTTACTATCTCGACTCGCCCTTGAATCATGTGTGATCCCAAGGTTGTTTCTCCGAATTGTTGGTTTTCTTTTATCTTAGAGGTGAATCTTGTCTTTGTATAATTGCTGCATATGTATGTACGGGTATGTTAGTGACAGAAATAGCCGGGTCTGTGTTTTACGTCAGAGTTTTTGATGTATTAATCCTCATCTGCTAAATGTTGGTAGTTGGAGTTCTAAATCACAGATATTAACAATATGGAAGCACTCATATAAAAGTGGTGAATGGAGACCTTGCATCAACATGTCTTCTAAAGGTATGAAGATTCTTCATTGTTATGCCTTTGGATCTAGTTCTTTTTTTCTTCAAATTTTAGGTTCTTAATCTTTCTTGCTACGAGGATTGCTATCTAATAAGGTTGGAAGAGCCAAGTGAAAGCATACTGTATCTGACTAGATAATTGAGACCCAATATTTACCGGGAAGTGGAAAGAGAAAAAGAATTTAAAATAATGTAGCTTTCACATTTTATTCGCCAGAATTGGGCTTCATTTCAAATGCACATATTCAAATACTGAGCTGACTATAACTGCAGACTACTTGCGTTCATAATTTGTTGAGGATAAGAAGGGTGAATAATTCATGACTCCTGCCACGAATTTTGTGGTCCCTTTCATATTCATTTTTCTTGTAGTCTGCTCAAAGGCATGTGTAGATCTAAAATTCTGTGACCATCAGCTTAATTTTGGCTTGGTTGAGCTTTTCTACTTTGACCCACATTTGGTCTTCACTATTTTTGTCTTTTAAAAATGTGTGACACATTGCTGATGTGCTTTGTTCTCTTGATGAGAAAGAACTAGGTCTGTTTTTCAATTATTATTGTAAAATTATTCCTTTTTTTTTTTATTTATTATCTTAGATTGATTCACTTTTCTGGTGCTTTAATCATACTAATTGGAGTGGCATATATGGTTCCAGATGCTGGATGCATTGAAGTAAAAAGGGTTGTGCGCTTAAGCCTACTAGTTAGTTGATTAAAACATCTAATAATTTTTCTGCATGTGATTGATGTTGATGTTGCTAAAGGAATTTATGAGCTATTCACAAGACAGACGTTGCGATCTCTCGTCTTTATTATTGTTATTGGGAGTCAACATAACTCCTCTGTGTTTGTGCTTTTTCATTTGGATTTGGTAATATATGATAGTACTAATGCATCATCTCTTGGTTTTGTCCCTCACCTACCGAATATCTAGGCATATACGAGATCGTGGTCCATAATTTTTGATAGTCTTATATTCCTTTGTGCTTAAAGTCTTGTGTGGCAGTCAGTATTCTTGCTAAGTAGATGTGGTCATCTGTTGTCTTTTTTATTCTTCTCATCTCATCACTTGTTTTTCTTTCTCTTGTATTTCGATTGTGGTCTTACGATTTTTTGTTTCTGTAATTTTCATTGAGCTTCAACCATGGAATGTAAAATTCATTAATATTTTCATATATTTTTTTTTCTTGTAGGCTTACCGGAATCAAATGGGTATATTTTTGTCGAGGCCAATGGTGGTCTAAATCAGCAGAGAACATCAGTATCTCTATCTTCCTTGTTTTTGTTGTTCTGGGGATTTCCTTTTACTAACACTCATATGGGTTTTGCGGTACACTCTATCCAATATTTGGTTTTCCAGATATGCAATGCTGTGGCAGTGGCAGGCTACCTCAATGCAACTCTTGTCATTCCAAACTTTCACTTTCACAGCATTTGGAGAGATCCAAGGTTGGGAACATTTCTATCGATTTGGCATGGTCATTAGTTTACTTAAGATATGGTAATTTAACGATAACAAATGAGTGTTTTGCTTCGGTTTTTTTCTTAGTGAAAGCATATGGCTGTGTCCGTAGTGCATATGTGACTCGTTCAATTTTGTAATGATGTAATTGCTTATATGCACATATATATTCCCGTCCGATGCATTTTTACTGAAAATTCTTGATTTGGTCGTTTCCATATCAGCTTATTTGAAAGGGAAATAAACTAACACGTCAGGGTAGAGGGGAGGTTGCTGAAACTTTATAGAATTCTTATACCAAGCTTGTGATTGTGCTTGAGTTTGATTTGATTCTTGATGCGCCTTTCCTTGAGTACATTTGCAAGAATCCTGTTTTCAAACGTCTTGCTAACTATGACCTTTCTCGTATGCTCTGGTGGTTCAAATTACATTCAGTTACTTTGTTATACATTTTAGAATCTATATTACTTGGCGTGATTAAGTGTTTACGATCATCAGTGTGCCTGTCATTATTGGGGACTAAGCACTAGGAAATGAGCTTCTTAGCGTAATTAAGTATACATTACGAGTCAATATTGTATTTCCGTCTAAGTTTGGGTCAGTTCTTGTAGATATGTGTGTGTTATCTCTATTTACAATAATACATTGTCACTCTTTTAATCAATAACAATGGGTTCATTTGTGAACTAATAACTATATAAATAATGAGAAGTAGATAACTTGGGAAGTTGTTTGAGTATTCCTCTAGAGTGTTTGGTGCTCTGAAGGTGATTTTGTTTCTCAACATTATGGTTGTCACTTTAAAGTGGCAGTTAATCACTGTGGAATATTTCCTTGTGTTCAGATGAATGCTTTTAGCTTTATGGCTGCGTTAGATCATTTTTCATTTAAGAAACATAAAATGCCTTATGTGAGTGGCAGTAAATCACTGTGGAATATTTCCTTGTGTTGGGATGAATGCTTATAGCTTTGGCTGAGTGAGATCCTTTTTCATTTAAAAAAAATAAAATGCCTTATGTTGCTTTTCTATGTGCAGCAAATTTGGTGATATTTATGATGAAGATTTCTTTATAAAAACACTAGAAAATGATGTGCGGATAGTTAGAACAATTCCGGGCCACATAATGGAGAGGTTTGACTATAATATGAGCAACGTTCACAACTTCAGGATAAAAGCATGGTCATCTATCAAGTACTACACTGACACAGTTCTTCCAAAACTACTAGAAGAAAAGTGAGTTCTTAAGATTTCTTATACTCATTCCTGATCGTTCATCATTTTTCCCTTTTTCTTTGAGAGAAAATTTGTTTCCATTTTTAGTACGTCCTTTATGGCTCTTTTCCTTTTTCTTTTCTTTTTTATATTTGAGATTTCTGAACGATATGGCTGATATCGTTGTCATACAAAATAGGAAAGCAACATGTTGCCTGGACTTTTTGGTTTCTGATGATATGTTTATAATTGATAATTTTTCATTCTGAAGGAGAAAGTTGACTTTGTCTTTTTCTCACTCATGTAGTAGAATTTTCATTGCAGAAACCTAACTAGTTTCACATAGTCTGCCTCCTTTTGAACTCGTTGCCTTTTCTATTGGCTGATGCAGGATTATAAGAATTTCTCCATTTGCAAATCGACTGTCATTCGATGCTCCACCTGCAGTTCAACAGCTTAGATGCTTGGCAAACTACCAAGCTCTTAAGTTTTCAGATCCTATTTTGACTTTAGGTGAAACATTGGTTGCAAGAATGAAAGAGCGTAGTGCTAATAATAGTGGCAAATATATCTCTGTGCATCTTCGCTTTGAAGAGGTTAGTTAAGTGGAAAGGAATTTTTCTTTTCTTTATTTCTTTCTTTTTTGCCTTCTCTTTTTACATGAAAAGTTAGAAGACAGACGTGTTGTCTTCTTTTGTAGGATATGGTTGCTTTCTCTTGTTGCGTATATGATGGTGGGGAGCAAGAAAAACTGGACATGGATGCTGCTAGGGAAAGAGGTTGGAAGGGAAAATTTACTAAACGAGGTCGGGTCATTCAGCCAGGGGCCATCAGATTGAATGGGAAGTGCCCTCTGACTCCTTTAGAGGTACTGCATTTCTCTTTTCTTTTTCCTATGCATACTTGGTAGTTTTTTATTTTTTATTTTTTATTTTTTTTTTACAGTTGAGTTTATTAAATGCATGGTCACACACTATTTTATGTTCTACAGATGGAAATGAGCGGTGGTGAGACTGAAAGATTTTAAAAATAGTCATGACTTATAAACCCATTTTGAAACTTCTAGGGCAGAGGAATTTATCATGACATGTAACAGATACCACCTACAGCTGCAGAACACGACTTATAAACCCATTATTCATTATGAATTTTAATAAGATGTCCAAGGGGAGAGTGACCTTTTCTTAAATATTGTGAGGATGATTTGTTTTAGGTTGAGACTTAAGTCGTCATTTCATGTCTGATGCCTTAGTCTTCTTGTGAATCAAATGTAAGGAGGCTGATTCTGTATTTGTTAAAATAAGGAAACTTTAAAAGGAAGTGTAATATACCCCTTTGCTAGAATACGAATAGGAGACTTCTTAAAAATATAACTACTAAGAGTTTGATGATTTAACTGTAAAAGCATATGAGGTCTGGATAAGGCATTTAAATGGACTCAGGATTAGGATGGTGGCTTGAGGTGGGTTGACAAGCTGACTCACCTTGTAAATGGCTGAGAATGTACTTGTGATTTGTGAACAATTCTTTTGAGGGAAGTCCTTTTTCTATTTTGATTGTTAGTGTTTGATTGATAGAATTAATAGATTATATTATGGCTAGTGATAATTGGTGTAGACATAGTTGTATTGTGCGGGTGATTTGCTCTGCATGAAGTTGTGTTTGACGTCAAGAGTCATCCTTTTTGCTTAGCTATGTAGTGTTTTGTGGATAAATTGTGTTTCATGGTGTTAAGCTTTCTGGACAAAGTGAGTTCAACCTACCTGATATTTTAACACCATGCACTTTTCTCTTACTGATGTTTTATTGATCAGGTAGGTTTAATGCTCAGGGGAATGGGCTTTGATAAAAGTACTTCGATATTTTTGGCATCTGGAAAAATATATGACTCTGAGAGGTATATGGCTCCTCTTCTAGAAATGTTCCCATTGCTACAAGCAAAAGAGATGCTGGCATCTGCAGAGGAACTAGCCCCGTTTCAGGTAAAACCCGAACTAACCCTAACCTTTCTCCTTCCCCTTCTTTGTATCAATTTATTGTTCTCGTGCTGCTTATTGATTTGACTTGACTTACTCATTTAACAGAACTACTCGTCCAGAATGGCTGCTATAGATTACACCGTTTGTCTTCACAGTGAAGTATTTGTCACAACTCAAGGTGGAAATTTTCCTCAGTTCCTTTTGGGGCACAGGAGATACTTGTATGGTGGTCACTCGAGGACAATTAGGCCTGACAAGCGGAAATTGGCATTACTATTTGATAATCCAAATATCGGGTAATCTTTTTCCCTAATTTTTGCTGTGTAACTTTTTGCATGTTTCCCTACTTTTGTGTTTGGCAAGAAAGTATCAACCTGTCACCGACAGATTTCAAATTTAGTTTAANTTTCTTTTTTATTTTTTATGTTTTTTCTAGTTTTCCCAGGGTTTTGCAATTTTTATGGTTTTTATTTATATATTTTCAATTATTTTTCAGTCTATATAAGGGTTTTTTCTTAGTGTATTATTAATATTATTTAGGTTTTTACTTTCCTTTTGTTTCGGGTACTTTTCTATTTTCTCTGAAGAATTAGTTATAGGAGACCTCTCCATCACAAGACAAAATAATGGTGTTCACTTCTATAGGTGGCGGAGCTTCAAACGGCAAATGCTAAATATGCGAGCACATAGCGACTCAAAAGGTATTGAGATCAAGAGACCAAACGACTCCATATATTCTTATCCCTGTCCCGATTGCATGTGCAAACTGAACAAGACAGATGTTTCAAAACCATCATCTGTATCATCAAATGCAACGCGATCGATTCAGAGGACAGAGACAAATAGTAATGAAACAAGACAGTAATCGGTTCAGGGGACAGAAACAAACCGAGGTTCTTTTCAGTTCCATTTTTGTAAGTGTGGCTGCTAACCCCCATATACATTTGATTGTGATTCTTTAATTTTTTTCCCATCTTTCTGAACGAGGACTAAAAGTAAAAAAAAAAAAACAACCTTTTTTTTT